AGGCGTGATGTAGCGTGACTAGGCGTGATTTAATGTGAATTTGTGACGGGATGTGGTCAGAAGAGTCGAAATATGACGAATATAAGCAATTCGTGACCAAGCGTGACTAGTCTTGACGCAGTGTAACGGCGGGACGAATTGTGGCCGTAAGTGTCGAATCGTCACAACATTTTTCAAAACATTACCGAACGTAACAAAATACACAAACTAACCTCACCTAACCTAACCTAAGCTAAGCTATCCTAACCAACCTAACCTAACCCAAGGGCCAAGTTTGATAAAAATAAATCAGACGGAGTATGGCTTCCGGTAAAGGAGGAACGGAGCGATCGAGGGCCTGGCTCCAAGACCGTTCAACGTGCACGAAGTTGCAAGAAATCCCCCGTTGGGGTGACGCAGCGCCGCCATGTTCTTTTCAACACTGGTTTTTGAAGTCACAGGTTCGTACCTCTGGCTCTTCTACGGCCCTTCCCGTATAAATCATGTCATTCCCAAGTCGTCATTCTTAATCTTGACCTTATTTTACCCCATTGAGCTAAACTGTGTACAGCTAATAATAGTATTATTAAATGAACAGTGTTGTTTATATGGGTGTGAACGTTTTATCATTACCATGAAACGAACTCTGTCTGTCCAGTCACTTTACTGGTGAGTTACCCGTGTTCGTATTTGTGATGTTTTTAACATTTTTCGCACAAATTCTCGGTAATATCCATCGTCTGTTGTTTCTCATAACACGACGTTTCGGGGAATGGACCTTTCTCCGTCAACAGGTAAATTAGGGGTACGAAAGGGTTCTTACTCTGTTAGGTCCCTTAGAAGGAGCTTGTCCCCTCCCCCAGGGACCAACCCCCTCCAGTTCCACAACTCTGCATTTCACACACAGAGTAAAGATTCACGGTGTTTCCGTAACCCCCCTCCCTCCCCCCTTGCAAGAGACGGTGTTTTACACCGATACAAAACAGGAGGCAGTTAATTTCTTCGTTACTGTAGTTTTAATTTTTGACGTAAATACGTCTGTATTTTAGGGTGAGTATCATTCGGCAAAAATGTAACGAAAAAGTGTAACTTAATTGTTATGTTACCTTGGAAACGTCATCTGTTTATCAACAAATAAACAACAATGGTTACCTACATAGTTACCTTACATTACCTTACCTTACATTACATTACATTATTTTACATTACATTCAGCTACCACAGAGCCATCTTAAGCGTAACTAATTCAAGTTAAATAAGCAAAGTCTTAATCAAACTTTACTCAATTGAAAAGCATGTATAAAGGAAATATTTAGAATAAAGCCAATATATAAACTTCCTTTCCGTATAGACGTATTTACGTCAAATTCTCCGGAACCATGGTTCCACTGACAACTTTTTACCTTTGTTAACCAAATGTTGTAACTTCGCCATCCTACTACTAACACGGCAACATCTTTCGCCTTTTCGAATCACAAGTGTCAGCTGGCAGTGACTGAGAGATTTTGTTGGATTTGTGGCTTCTTTTATAACACACGGCACGACTGGCTTCCTGAGGTGTGATCATTCGAAGAGAGGGGCCCTGTGTTTGAGGATCTCATTTTGACTCTATTGAGGCACATTGATCACAAAGTGGATAAGGAGTCGTTTCTGGACAAGCTGAGAATTTCGATAGATAGATAAATCGGGTGGACGGGAAGAGAACGAATTCAATTCCCGAATCCCTTTCTTGTGAACCTCGCCATTGAACAGTTTCGATTCCTCCCTCCTTCCCGCCCTCTCCCTCCAGAAACGAATGGGGTAGTGAAGGGTGTTAACATTCAGAATGGGTAGGAATATTGCAGGTTCTTTCTTTGAGCTGCTGTTAGGCGCGAATACAAAGGTGTCTGTCTTTCTGTTGTGAAAATAAATTTAGTTTATGCGCCATTAAACGTTTCATTGTACGTAAGACATTTTGGAATTTCTACCGGGAACCTATATTTCAGGTAATCAGGGTACATGTAACACAAATGTAACTCACGTGGGCGTTTTGCCAAATGAATGATTCAAGACAAGTCAACGAAGTGTTTTTACGCAGAACGTGTATTTTTAATATGTACACTCACAAGAAGGAGATTCGAAGGTGATCTTGTGGGCTGTGACGCCGTGCAGTGTTGCAGACGGAACACATTGCCGTATTCCGTCCTGAAGATGGTGATATTTTTCTCCGGAAAAATGTAGGAAGGGCAGTTACAGTAAAAATACGAAGACCAAAGATTTGCTCATTTCGAGATCGCCTTACAATCGGTAACGCTAACGCGGCGTGACTGTCCTTACGGGGTGCGTGCGTCTTATTGGAACTGGCTCTTGCCCCAAGAGTGACAATGATAATTAGCGAAAATTACCTTAATGTGTAGTGTTCGCTCTTTTTTTTAAAAAAAAACGTGAACTTAAATCGTGAAAAAGCACTGGGTTCTTCAGGAAGCGCGCAGGGGAGCTTATTTGTAAAGTTCTGAAATTGTTCTAGGCAGAGGAGACGCTTTCGTGTAGCTTCCATTATATTGATCCACTTTACATTTTTTGGTACAGCTATAAATCTGTCGTATCTGCAAATATGTATTGACATAGGCCACCAGTGGTGGGAAAATCTTGAAGAAGAAGTTTTCATATAAATCACGTTCCTCTGAATCTGTAACTACCCGTTTTCCGTTCTTACTTTGAGTCAGAGACAGGCCAGATCCCAACAGAACATCGACCGAACAGACAAGCTTTTCTCCTTAAATCATATCAAGTTTTCATTTCGCAGTCCACACGCTGCGATGACAGCACAGACAAAGTACTGGAAGGCCGGAGATCTTCGTCCGCCTTGCCTACAAAGTTTCAGCAACACGGAAGCACGATCACTTGGTGATACAACCAGACATGCATAATTGTGGGAGGGAAACCTCTTTAAACGTCCACTTGCGAGACGAAGAAGGAGATTAAGGCAATGTCCTACGTAAGCGATTATTTCTCCGATAAGTCCCAGTTCTGTGATGACAGGATTTGGGTTACGACGCTGTTCGACGGCTACCAACGCTGAATACTGCAGTCAAAATTTTCGTTACCCTGAAAACCTAAAGTATGACATAATATATCAATTGTTGCACTCGCTACTCTGAACATTGCGACTGCAGGTTCCGACGAACCTTTTTTCTAACGACCCCGGCTTAGAAGAAAACTCGTTTGGCGCTTCGTTTCGACGTCTTAAGCATTTCTGATCCGTCTCTTGGGATCCATTCCGAAAGCATTTGATTTTCTAGTGTAACTGGACATAAGAATAAAGTTTTTGATAACTTTTGTTCAATAAAGAAAGATCATTTTGCCTGATTTACTTCGTTACTCTGCGAGTTTAATTTTAACTTTCTGTTTAGTGTAGGCTTCCTCTTTATTTACGTATTTTAATTTGTGTCACAGCGAACTTCTAACGCACTCAGCTAATTGAAAGTGAATGAGTTTTTCGTTCGCCGGTCAATTAAAACCCAGCTTGTATCCAGAAACGAAAGTAATTAAGGAAATGTTTCAATATCACATTTAAACCATTGCACAACCCCCCACCCCACCCCCACAGATCGCCGTTGCCCTAGCAACCTGATTAAAATTTGAATGGAAGAGTGGCGTGGGAAATGTCGGATTGAGGACGGGGGCTTTGAAATTTGGCGATGAAGGCCAGTGTGAAGAGGGCTTTCTTATTGCGAGACGTAACGAGCTACATCTTGTGGCGTGTGTTCGAAGAGGAAACGATCAATCGTTCATTCGCAATGCGAAGAAAAAGCAATCTGCAGGTCAGTTCGGCGTTCGCTGACATTTTTCTCGGCATTTTTTCTGTTTTGTTGGGATGGACCTGTGACCTCTGACGAGCCTCTGGCCCATCCCGTAGATTAAACTTGGTGAATGACGTTGACGGGGGAGAGACCCGAATCGCCCTGCCCTGTGTAACTGGTTATCAACAGATCCGTCGACAGTATTGGATTATCAAAAGTCTGCTGTATGTAGGCTCAGCGTTATGTTAATACTTTCAAATGTAGTTGGGGGAGTTTTAGGTAAGGTACAGGCGTTGCAAAGTGAAAGGACTGCCATTTTGAAATATAAGTTGTACCCTCCACGATTTTTTGTATTGTCACGTTGCATTCTGTATGTGACCTCTGCAATCGGCGCTCGAAATGTACGGACGATGGAGATGTCGTTCACATCTCAGTGTTTTATATTTGGATTTTCATTAATCATGATGATTATTGACAAAACAGTTACTGTTTTCGATGTTGATGACGTAAATGAGAATCGTTGATGTACCAAACAAAACAGATTAGTTTGTATTGCCTCTTCACACGAGTTCGTAGAAAGGGACCCAGGATTATCGCCGTGTTTTCTGGCTGAGGTTTAAAAGTTTTTTTTTACACAAGCTTTGTAAATTAACAAGACTTTGCTAACTTAACATTTCGAAGAGATTAATATATTGTACTGATACGGAGATCTCTTATGCTGATTATACATTTCTCCGGCAAAAAAAGGTAGTATGTATTCTCGAAACTCAAAAGTTCCCATCCGCCGTAAAATACGCCATTGGATCGTATTCTAAGGCTGTTCGATCGAGTTCACATTTTCACCAACGACAACACAACTGGCTAGAACTCACTTTCCGTTACTGGAACCCAAAGATTTATTAAAAAATACTCACACCAAATTGGACGCGATGCTGAGTTAATTTCATCCACGTCTCATCCTCAAATTTTCTATCAATGACGCATCTTTGAGTCACCATATCGTGCCTCCTGTGTTCCAAGTGGCCGATTCCGAAGAGGCTAGTGTGCATGACTGCATTATCCTGGCTACCGGCTCAGTCCTTCAAGAGGCAGGTTGTTCTACGTGGCTTCTCTCCAGGTGGCGTGGAACGAAAATATTCGACTTCTCACTTCTCGGAAGTTCGGACTTTCTTCAGTGTCTCCGATGTACCGGAACGTAACTGCCGAATAAGGGACCGCGTTCCGGTCTGTGTGTTACAGAAGCGACGTCCGAGGTACGCCTCCTGAAGAGCAGCCGTGGCCTGGGTCTCAGTGTGACTGGCGGAGTGGATTCTGGCGAGCAGTGGCCTGGGTTGGTGCGCATCAAGCGACTGTTTCAGCACCAGCCGGCGTGGCAGAGCGGTCAACTCGCCCAGGGCGACGTCCTGCTGGCGGCGAATGGCGTCCACCTCATCGGCCTGACCAACTATGTGAGTGACAGGTTCTCCATTCCAGTTCCCAATGCCGAGCATGCGAATATAACATTGAATATCTTATTTTATTTAATAGTACGGTTGAATTTGTTGTGTTTTGAAAGTTGCTGACAAAACGTTCGCATTTTTTTTGCCACGCCTGTCGTAGTTTCTCGCCCGAAGCGCTAGGGGGCAATTGGTCATCGTAATACAAAGCGATGATCACGTCTGATATGAGGGATCTCTGCTGCCACTTATGCAATTTTTGCCGACGATATAATCGTTCTTAACAAGGAAATGTTAAGTATCTGCGATTCAGCCGATGGGGAAATTCCCTGTTCTAACGATGCCGGAGTGTAACGACGCAACGCGCCAGTAGACCTTGTCTGGAGCTGTTTCAGTTCGTCAGGCTCTCAAGAGGTCCTGCGGTTGACAAATCTCCCCCATAAGCATGAAATGGTAATTAGTCACAGAGATTGCTTTACAGTTTTGCATTTAACGTATGTGTACATTTTAGGTGTTCTGGTCAAACATAACATAACATAAACACAAGACCTGTAACGAGTTACATTTATATGGCCAGTCCCTTCGCTTCAGGTTTAGCTGCATGGCGCATTTGATTAGGCTGAACTTTGAACCCGAATGTTTCATTCGGTCATCCTAAAACCCGACATTAGAATCTGTTCTAAAACAATACAGCACAGTTCACATCGGTCCATATTCAGGGAAGACCTAGGCGTAGATAGAGCAATAAGGTGGTTGTCATTGTGTCGACTTTTTTTTCATTTGGCTTAGTATACGGACCAATGGAGAGCCCGGGTAGTTTACGGACTGGACGGCCGAGGTTCGATCCCCAACAGAGTCAGGGAATCTTTCCCCTAGCCTCTGCCTCCGTACCGACGCTGCCGCCATCTAGTGCCGCGGTTAACAATGAGTAGGAGCTATACTGTCTCTCCCCCTGAGCGCAGCGGATCATATTTTTTTAAGAGACCATTGGCGGGTTGTTGTGAACGTGGTAATGAACATTCGGATTGCATAGAAGGCCGGGGATACTTTGTGCAGCTGAGCGAGTGTTAGATTCCCAATAAGGATCCTTCTCCATAAAATTGTAGACACATATTTTGACAGAGACCAATTTCTTGGGCGGGAAATCAGACCATCTCTCAGCACAAAACTGCATGTAAAGTCGGTGACAGACATGCCCCTCATGGGTTTCGAATCTACGATCACAGTTTTCTAGCGGTCGAGGACCATGAACTTAACGGGGTCAACAGATTCAGCATCGGTGCGATGGTCAACAGTAGATTCGAGTCCGAAGCAAATGAGCGTGAGACCCGTAACGAATAACGTGCCTGTAGTCCCCGCGGCTCTGGGGTTGGACTGGGCCCGGGGATCGGCGTTATTACACCTACACTGCGGCGGCCCGGGGCGACTGCAGATCTAGCTACTGCGCAGGTCCGCCGCGAGCACCCTTTTGAATAGAAGCTGTACGGTTGCCATTTTCTCGCCGAAAGAAATCTTAAGAGACAAAGAGGGAATTCCATCTGCCGATATATTTGCTTTCCCTCCCTTGTAAAAAGGACATGACAGCGTAGACAGGTCGAAACTTTGGTTTGTGTTGGGAAGTTTTCGTGTGCAACAAGATATAACAAATGCAATAAGAAGTCTGCACAAGAACACAGAAATCTGCACTGAAATCTTAGATACTAAGATATCAAAACCAGTTACGGTCAATGTGGGACCGCGCCAAGGATGACGACAGTCGCCAGTCCTGTTTAATAACAAATGACAAACCCCGAGGGAATCAAGATTGCGAGAAAGGCAGACCCTCGTGTTTGATGCTCATCAGTTACTACGTGCACCCACAGAGAGCAGTAACAGAATTAAATTAGATATTACAAGTGCGCAGTCCTCAAATATCGGAAAATAAAATCAAAGCGAGTGGGGGTGAATGGAAAACACCGGATGAGAGTTATAATAGGGATAGAACACCTGATAAATTACACGCGGACCTGGGAACTCGATTGTGCAAATATAATAAACTTAATTGGGCCATAGAAAAAGATATTTCAGGAACAAAATGAATAAAAAGATAATTTATTCAGATTGCACGATACTGTATCCGAATCAACACTGCAATTTGGCAGCGAAATTTTTAGATCTTAAGGAAGAAGATGAGAGACGATCTGAAGCCTCCCATTCCAGATTTCTCAGACCCTTAATGGGAGTTACCCGAAGAGAGAGACAGGCAAAGGAGGAAGTAAGGAAGCGAATGAAGACCACACGTAGTGTAAATGACACAAAATCATCAATTGAACCGGAAACAACTCGTTGGTAGGATGGGAGAAAGCAGAATCTAACCTAATAATGTTTCGTTCAGAAATGTGTGAAGGACGCCGCCATCTGGACAGTGGTGTGTTTCGCCGTCTCGACGACGGGGTGAGGGACACTGGCGGCGTTCTACCAAAATAGGGGTCGACCGCGCACACCCCGGATTCCAGCACCCGAAGAGAGATGGTTTTGGATGTGCTGGCACAGAAGGCAGAACAAGAGAGTTTGGTGTTGAACATCCAGGGGTTCAAGGTCAACCATGCCTCGTGATCGTCTCCAATACTGCGAGTGGATTTTATGGGAACATGCACGTGACCCGGGCTTCTTGGAGCATGTCTTGTCGTCGGACCAATCAGGGTTCACTCGTGAAGGCGTCTTGAAGAGTGTTACAGCCACTTGTGGGCACAGCATTTACCACAAGTAACACGATTGAGGCTATCAAGTTCGATCGTGCATTAATGTACTGTGCTGTTCGGCCATTCCTACTACCCGACCGCCTCAGTGGCGTTGCTCGTTGACTGTCCTGCAGGAAGCGATACCGCCTGCTGCTGAAGATGTGGGAACTGGGTGGGGAGTTTACTTGTACATCCAATCTCGAAGTATCGATTCAGGCATCTACGAGGCAGTATTATAAGAAAGCTAACAGCAACGGAACGTAATGCGAAGCGCGACGTGTTGACCTTTAATTTAACGCATTCCCTGTTTCAGGAAGCCCTAGAGGTGTTGCGGACAACGCCGAACAACGTGGTGTTGACCGTCTGCCGCCCCCCGGGTGACG